ACACAACAAACAGCCGTCCCAGAGCCCAGCGGAGATCACGGCTCCCTTCTGCCCGGAGCGGTACCGTCCCTGGGAGAGCAGCACCTGCTCCAAAGAGCTTACACCCTGGCAGAAAGGTGGCAGAGGTGGTTGGGACCCTCACTGTGGAGCTGAGGAACAGAGAGACTTAACTTGCACAGGGAGTGTGTGGCAGAGAGGAAGACTGGGACTACGTCTGTGGTTTTCCATCTACCCTGATTTAATGCAAAATGCATTAAATACACCGAAGCTGGGGTGCTGGGTGGAAGTTTCGGTGCCCAGAGCCAGAGCTGCCCTTGCTTTCCCTCCTGCACTGTCAGGGGACCTCAGGTCTCTGGTGGCAGCAGCGGAGGAAGGTCTCTCGTACCGATATCCTGCCACAGGCACGAGCTGGCTGACGTTGAGGATGCCGGGGGAGAAGGATGACGTTCAGGGGAACGTCCTCAAAAGGGACACGGGAGCAGACGCATCGTAGCTCCTTACCGCTTCCATTTTCTTGGGGTTTAAAGGAGAGGGTCTTTCTTACCCTCGGAGAGAAGATATCTGCTTTATTGCTTCCTAATAGGCTCAGATAGGTTACCCAAGCTGCGAGGGTTGGGTAGCCCTGCTACCATAGCCACTAGTCCGAAGTGGGCCAGGAGCCCAGCTCTCTGGCTCCCTGCGCCCTCCCCATGAAACCACACTCCTCTACCTGGCTCCTGCTCTTCCCAGTCCCAGCCCCGACAGAGCTGGGCGAAGCTGCCGGGTCAGCCATCCCCCAGCATCCCGGGGAGTGATACCAGCTGCTCCCGAGGCTGCGATAACGCCGTCGGGCTGTCCTATATTGCACCCACACGTCCACACCCCAGCTCCTCTCCCCGGGTGCTGGGGTGCCCATCGCGCACCCCGCCCTGGGCTCCTGGCAGGCCGGCCAGTTCCCCCTGTTACAGGGTGGGGAGGGAAGATGTTCGGAGCGCCTGCAGCTATTCAGTTACCGATGGTTGTGTTTGAAGAGCTTCCCTATCGCCCTTTTGTTAAAGCTTTGGCTTCCCCCCCATAGCCTCAACAGATGAAATCAAAGGGAAGTAGCTTTGCTTGGTGTAACCTGTTTTGATCAAGCAGATAAACGGGGAACAAGTGTCTGACACAAACAAACAGACAGACAGAGGCAAGTCCCACCTCAGCATTTTGTTGCATCAGATACAGAGGGCTTAGATAAACCACAAGAAGGGGGAGATCTCTGCCTTTCGGCTTGAAGACCAGGGGCGACACTCTGCAGTGCCAAGCCCCCACAGTTCCCATTAAAAAAAAAAAAAAAAAAAAAAGAACTTGCTGGCATGGCTTTCATCAGTTTAAAAAGATGAAAAGAGCTTCCAGCCAAGCATAAAACTCACGCTTGTCATTACCCCCCATGGAGTCAGTGGGACTGCCTGCAAGCCCAGCCGCAGGCGCCTCAGGCCAAGCGTTAAACCGAGCTGACATCGCCCAGGAAAGGGCAAGGATGACCCTCGGACTGGGGAGATGACCCAGCACTCAGCCCTGGACTGACCCACGCAGCTCCTGGCTGCCAGGGCAAATCAGTCCAAACCACGGCCCTTGCGGGAGAAACTCCTGCCTTACTCCCCTCTTCCTCCTCGCACACATAACTGTGGTAAAAAAGGCAGAGCTACAGTCAAGGGAGGATTAAGAGTCACAGGAGTAGGCAGGGTAGGTGATATTCCTTAAAATTCTATATATATATTTTTTTTAAATCATAGCTTTTTGTAAAATGGCAAAGTTTCGCTCCAACCGGTAGACGTGGAGGAGTGGCATCAAAGAAAAATGGATTTTTGGAGAACATCTTACGAAAAAGCTTTGAAGCATTTTCTGTGAAATTGGTGTAGATGAAAAAGAAAAAAAAACAAAACAAAACCAACGCAGCAACTCAACTTTCCTAACCTCCTATAAGAGACGAACAATTTTGAAAATTTTCTCCAAAAAAAAAAAAAAAAAGCCCCACGATTATTTTAAACACTTTCAAAGTAAAACAATGCCCCAAATTACCCTTTTTTTCCCCTCTAAGCCTAGAACTGGCAGAGATATGAAAGGATGAGATTATACTTCTGCTACTGACACTTCCCATCAGATCTTTAGGCATCAGTTTTAGATCAAGGGCTTGGTTTACAAAAGCATTTTGGCACCCAACTCCCTCCAGTGTTTTTTTTTTTTCTGTTTTTTTTTTTTTTTTTACCATCGTAAACTAGTAGTAGCTAAGTAATTCAGGGCCACTAGATCTTAACCATTCTTATTTTTCTTTTCTGTTCTTTTAATTTCAAAAATCTGGAAAAGGAAGAGCAAAGAGTGGGGGATGAAATATGTATTATTTGCAGAAGAAAGGAACACAACATGCCTACTTTCATTTATTTATTTGGGATGTGAAAGATAAGCTCTTGGTTGAGTGTGTATGCCCACATGTATTATCGGAAACAGTTTTTATAAGCTGTTTGAGCACTTATGTTATTGCCAATCTCAGCTTTCCAAGTTATTTTATACATCACCCACTGCTGCATGGTGAATTATTTTATTTAGATCCAACATTTAAAGCCTTGCAAATGAATGAGAATGGTG